TCTTTAATACTCTTAACCTCCAACACGCCTCTGATGACTGCGACTCCGACAGAAAACAATAGATGCGCTAAAGTTCTACCTTTGATATGAGAAGATGCGACCACTGGTCCAGAGAATTACTGGATAGGTGAGCTACTATTCCAGCCGCGAAGTAGGAAACCTCTATACTGGAAGAATGAAGGAGATTCCTAAAATATAGGTTTTGTATGAATATCGCACATTTTTTTTTCTTGTTATCATACATAATCTATGTATATATATTATTAATTTTAAAACCTTTCTCACAATGTGGCGTGTGACTTTGCAGTTTGCATAACCGTGAAAAATTTACTTTTCAGGGTTTTAAGAATCCTAAGAAAACAATCTAATCAAATCCCCATTCTGTTAACCGTTTTATCAAGGTAACTTACAAACATTCACCGAATTCACCAGACAAACTTTTAGAACTAAAGAAATGTGTCCATCCATGGGTAAAGAAATATAGTGGACTGAATTGCAATCTATAACGTACGTTAGATGGAGAATTTTTGAACAAATTGTATTGCGGGACATATTTAGTAATTACCTCAGTGTTTGTATGAAAGGATTAACCATTAAGTATCTCCGAAGAGATGGAACCTCGGCAATATTGTTGAAGAGTCCAAGAACCTTGGTTTCTATCGCTAGTTCTCCAGGGAACAGGTTTAATACTTCGATAAACAACTCCATCCCGTTCTCATCAAGGAACGCCTAGATAACTAGCAATAAAATCAAGTTTTTATTCATCATTCTAAATCAATTAAACTATTTCATAAATCGTTCGAGAAGATAATCTTTCACGTGAAGCTCATGAACTAGTTCTTAATAACAGCAACAAACATTTCAAACAGAGCTTGAAATTTCACTAAAATAAACTGTTCAAAAGCTGAGCTATTTTGTATAAATCATTATATATCTGAATGACAGTGGGTCTACTCTTTATGTAATGACTAGGAAGTTATCCAATTAGGTCTGTTCACACTTCATTTCTTTGTTTGAATTCTGACCTGACAAGTTTTAGGAGATTCATCGGTCAAGTTCCATAGAGCAGAGAGAGTTAGTTTCATTGTAATATCTATAACAGAGTCCTGGGTTCTTTCGCGGACAATAGAGAGAAGTTTCTTCATATAGTTTGCCTGAGAACTCAACTCACTTAGTTCACTGATCTCCTCTGTAGAGATCTTTGCAGCTAAATACAGAGATTTATTTTTAATTATTTCAAATATTTCCTTCCTCATATAAGTCTTATTATATTTTTTTAATGACATGACATATTTTGAAACGTAAGTATTTTCTTATTGTGCAGGGGAAGAGGGAAAAGGATAATCTCGAGTATAATTTACATTAAAATATGTAAACGCGGGAGAGTATTTTAAAACATCCTGGAGTTGGGATACTAATCGTTCTCATAGTGGTCATTTCTACAGTTTTAATCCGGCGAGAAGAGAACATGTTTAATTAACTCATTCCATCCATCAAAAGTTTCAAGCTCAGGCTGAATAAAAATTGAAAAATTGAAAGAAAACCCAGAAATAGACACTTAAAGAAAACTTCAATTCAAATCTTGACGATTGATTATCAGGCAAGGCTCAATAAATGTCGAATACCTAGAATTGAGCAGATCTCCACCGACATCCTGTTCATAGAGTTGTCCTGCCAGGAGCAAAGACAATCAAGGACTAGTTTTACACATCTATACTTGTCAAATTCAACCTAAAGACAATCAAGGAGTAGTTTTACACATCTATACTTGTCAAATTCAACCTAAAGACAATATTTGGACTGCCAGGAGCAGAGACAATTTAGGACTAGTTTTACACAGCTATACTTGTCAAACTCAACATAAAGAAGATATTTTTTACTGCCAGGAGCATAGACAATCAAGGACTAGTTTTAAACATCTATACTTGTCAAACTCAACCTATCAACCTAGAGACAATATTTATACTGCCAGGAGCAGAGACAATCAAGGACAAGGTTTACACATCTATACTTGTCAAACCCAACCTAGAGACAATATACTAGTTTTACACAGCTATACTTGTCAAACTCAACCTAGAGACAATATTTATACTGCCAGGAGCAGAGACAATCAAGGACAAGGTTTACACATCTATACTTGTCAAACCCAACCTAGAGACAATATTTATACTGCCAGGAGCAGACAATCTAGGACTAGTTTTACACAGCTATACTTGTCAAACTCAACCTAGAGACAATATTTATACTGCCAGGAGCAGAGACAATCAAGGACAAGGTTTACACATCTATACTTGTAAAACCCAACCTAAACACAATATTTATACTGCCAGGAGCAGACAATCTAGGACTAGTTTTACACAGCTATACTTGTCAAACTCAACATAAAGAAAATATTTTATACAATATTTATACTGCCAGGAGCAGAGAAGAACAAGGACAAGGTTTACACATCTATACTTGTCAAATCCAACCTAGAGACAATATTTAAATTGCCAGGAAAGCAGAGACAATCTAGGACTAGTTTAACATACAAGTCAAATTAAACATGAAAAATTTATATTCGACATTTAATTTATAGACGCAGAAAAAACCAGGAATATTGCATTAACATATTTCCATCGAAAAAAAAAGCAAACAAAATATTATCCTACCTCTTGCAGTATTCTATTATTATCTATTGTTAGCAACACGTTCTTCTGAAGCTAAAACAAAAATATTAAAATTACATTGTGAAAAATTTAAAACGAGCTCAAGGGTTTGGCGTTCTTTTAGCCTAAAACGGCCAGCCATGAGTGTCCACAAAAAATTTCAGCCCATTTGGTCCAGCCGTTTGACCGGCTATAGGCAACATATATATGAATATCTTGTTTTATTATATAGATGAATGCTTATTTACCTGCTGGTGCTGTGGAAAGGTTTCCATGGCGTCTAAATCTATTTGAACGATCTCCTTGAGAACTCCAGGATGAATCCGGGAGCACAGATCTGCCTTAGAGAGGTTGAACAGACATGCAGTTACTGCCATCTGTATCGGAAGTACAGTTGGATATTTCTTAGCACAGGATAACACCATCTGAGAGAAATAATTGAAAAATACCGAGTCTTGTGAATAGTTGACAGCTAAAGTGTGTCCAAATAAACTTGAGATTTAAGAAACAGAATGAAAATTGTCATATTTAGGCAATTCAATTAGCTAAGGTATTGAAATTTAAGTTACTAGGCTTTTAGTGCGCTTCGCAAACATCTTTTATTTAAATTGTGAACACGTTCTTTTTGTTTACATTTTAAAACAAAGAAGAATATTTTTTTGCGGATTTAAAAAAAAAATTCGCGGATTTTCAAGAATTTAATTTTTTTACAAAATTAAAAACCTTTAAAACACATTTTAAAATTTTTTTATCATTCATAAACCTTCCCTGTGGTCACGTGATGTCCCACAAAAAATTTGGGCCCGATCGGTTCAGTCGTTTTGACATTTATTGGATACAAAACAAACAAACAGACAAGCAAAATTTATTTATAGATTTTCACTGAAACATTATTTAATATGTAAATTAACAAGTGAAGGAATGCCACGTGGATGGAAAACGATATGTATGTCGTCACTTAATTCTAATGTTTATTGTATTCAATTTCTGACCTTGATAATATCTATTCTGGGAACTGTGATATCTATGGCTGGTTCATAGTTCCCAGTTGTCATCTTGAACAGATGATATAAAGTTTTCTGAATGTAGTATGGACGATCTAAATACCGATGCAGAGCTTCAAGAATTTGATTCTCCGACCCGAACCCTGCTATCACTGAAAAACAAGAATATACAACAAAATTGGGATTTACTCTTTCTGCATAAACATCAATGAGAAAAACAAAACAATTTAGTCTCAAATTTTTTTTTATCTTTTTAAATGGGTTTAAAAGTTCACCTTGAGGAGTATGGGGAATTTTGATTTTTAATGTCGTTTAACGAATATCTTGTAATTTGTACTAAATTTATTACGCAAAAAAGTTGTTCATGAGAAGAATTTTAACATGATTGCTAAAAATTTGTCAATAACTGAGAGGTCATCTAGAATTCTGATAACGTTTAGCTCTAATTGACATTAAAGAAACCTTATCTGGAATAATGCAAAAAAAGTTCTACGTGTAATTTGTCTTACCAATATCTCCGAAGTAGGGTTCACTTGTTGAATCTGTAAACATAGGATCTCTGCAAACCTCGCTCAGTGCTAAACCAAGAAACCGGAGCTTGTGACAAGCAAGGAACTCCACCAGCTCGTTAGTGTTTATCTCCTCTTTCCCTTAACAAGGAGTCAGTTAAGATTCAAGGGGGGGGGGTCAAGAGATAACCCGAGAAGGCAATAAAGTTTCTAACCTGATATATCCATGGAATGAAGGTTTGGTAAAGACTCGTATTTTCGGAGAAGTTTAGAAATCTTGAACCTAGCTCCGGAAGAGAGAATATCACAAGGTTCCCTGGAGTCGGTATCATCAGATACATCAAGATGAACCAGACCAGTCAGTCCGGTCAAAATATCAACCTGTACAATTGATATACATTACACAATAACCATAACCTAAGTATCGAAAAGATAAGTAATATATATCGAATATTTCAATATAAAGAATTTTATTACAAAAAAAGATCACTCGTAATTTGCTACTTACAATAGTTTCACTGACGGAGAGAGGGAATTTAAGTCCTGACATGGAGAGAACCTTCAACCTCGTCCTGCATTTTCTCAGGGCTGAGATATCATTAACATGAGAACAACTGATGTTCAAACTCTCTAATCTAGGTAGATCTTCAACCACTAGCTCCAGACTCGTCTTGTTAAACTCCGTCCTAGAAACGTTTAAAATCTGGAGGTTCCGGAGTTTAGACAACGCAACTACAACACAGAACTTGTTACTGTCCATGAAGGTAGAGTTGGAAACGTTGAGAAGCCTCAAGTTCTGTAAACTCCATTCTCCAAGACAGCTGATCAAATCTGTCACAGTTGCCCTGGTTAACCCCATGGCTTCTAGCTCCAGGATCTTGTGCCCTTTTAAAGTTCTTAATCCTTTTAAGGATAGTTTTGAAGCATCGTTGAGTTTCACTTGTTTTAGCCTAGTTGTATCAGTGTTAAACACCGTCAGCATCAAATCATCAAGCTTCCTAAGCTCACAAAGTTTCATAAGTAACTGTTCGGATAGTTCAGTATGGAAAAATATTTGTTGTTTAAATCTAAGTTTAGCCTCTCCACTAACTCCTGATCTCTCAATACAGCAGATTCTATCGATGTTGTTGCAGATAAAACATAAGCTTGCATCCTACAAAAGAGAGTATGAAACAAACTGAAGTTTTCAAATAAAAACTATAAAATAATCAAAACCCATGTGACATTGAAATTGTGGTTTTAAGATAAAATTATTACTATTAACAAAAAAATAAAGTTTATCAATATACCTGTAAAGTTGGTGGATTATGTATCAATGAACTCTCCGGGTCAGAAATATCCAACATTTTTCTAATATTTTCTTTATAAATTTAATCTTTTTACGTAACTATTGCGCCAGTTTAATTTCGTATATAGGCCTTACTGAATTCTATAGCTGTGTGTACCTACCGCTAGTTCAACAGCTAAGTTTTATTTTCTCCAGGCTTCTTCTATTATACTAAACTGCGTAGAACAACAAGGAATGCCGCGTAGAGTTACTTTTACATACAGAACGTCCCATATCTTTTTAGATTATCTCTTATCTTTAACGCCAAATTACGCACGTAATACTCGAAAAATCTAGCATTTTCTGAAAAAGCTTTTATCTATAAGCCTTAATTTATTTTTCAAAAATGATTAGTTTTTCTTAAATTTTCTGATTTGTCCCTAAATCGTAAATTATAGACCCATTGACGCGGTCTAATTAGGACAAGAAAGGAATTTTTGAAAAATTTTAAAGTGAGGACTAGAATTTTACCATTTTGTCAACACCAATTAAAGAATTCCTTGACTGAATCTTTAATAAAAAGACTGCAAACCAAGTTCAAGGAGTTCAAGTCTCAAATCCCAACCTGATTTCGTACAGGGTGTGCCAAAACACATAAGAATTATGAGATGGCTTATTCCGTATCTTATTACCTATATTTGATCAATGACAGCGTATCAACAAAACTTGTGCGTCTTATAGCTTTTAAAACGTACTTTCTTCACGTTGTATCTTTAAAGAGAGATAGACTTTTCTCATTTACAAAAGTACAACCATCGAAACATAAACTAACAACTCTTGTCGGCCCAACATAATATTGACAACAACTTTCCTAGAAGACATCACAAAGACGATCGTGAGCCAATTCTTATGTTTATCGGGATACCCTGTATATGTAATTGCATTAATTAATAAGTAAAGCTAAAAACATTTATTCACGTGTTTACAAAGTGTTTAGCAAAGTGTTTAGTGTTCATAGTTCTGTTTTGCCAACTCCTGTGGCAAGAATTGAATTTATGATCTGAAGAAGAGAACTGAAGTATATATCTGTATCATCCTGTATCAGTTCACGGTTACTTAGTTCTTTATATTTGCCCGCCAGTTGGTTCAGTTTATCCAGAACATCCTGAAGTGTAGAAAGAGATTAGACAACTGCCTGATGTTCAATGTTCATGTGTACAATTGTACATATGTACGTACAAATATTATTTACTTACACTAAGAGTTTAAATGATTAACACTCAAAACTTTTGCGGATTTTCCTAGTTTATTTTTGTGAATTTAAAAAATATTTTCCCTGTGTTCATGCAAGGTTTACAATTAGGGTTAGAAAAAAAGCCAGGTTTAAAAAAAATATAAAAAAACACAGCCCAGTGGAATTTATTGGGTTTATTTTTTTTTTTGGGGGGGGGGGGGCTTAATTTTTGGGTTTTTCCATTTGAAATTAGTTGAAACCTACAACAATTCACACTAATTCATAGTAATAAATCTTTATAGTTGTGAAAATAATAATATTGTTGTACGATAATAGGCTATAATCAATCATATATAAATACTCTTCAAATACAATAATATCACCTTCCTTCTTCAAAGTGGAAATAGTGCAATTTTTTTATAGTATAGTTCTTTAAATTTCAGACTTCATTCTATTTTCTCACTGGGATACATATTTCTGATTGGGGGTGGGGCTATTCACTATTCAGATTAATTCATGAAGGAAGGTACCACCGATAAATACCGAAAAACTTCAGCTCATTCATACATAAAAATGACAAAGGGTTATTTGTTCTATCGCAACAAATTTTGAAAACTCTGATTTATTTCTGAGTATCTTCTCGGGGTTTTCAATATCCTTGATACTTGTTATAAAAAAAAACCAAGCACTGCAGATAATCGATTGCTCCAAAAGTTTTCTACAATTGGATTTGTCTGGTCTAAAACTCGAAACTGTCTTGAAGACCAGAGTGACTAAGTTGACTATTTTGATTAATTAAATATATTTTTTTGTACTACATTAACTTCTTTAAGATCATTGGTTTAAGCCTTAGGAAATGAATAAATGTCTCAGTTTTAGTGCTGTAAACTCCCTAAAAATCAATATGGTTGCTATTTCTTGAAGAGTTAATCATTTAAAATTCGATGATGGTGATGGACCAAACCTCTGTACATGTTAGTTCCCATTTATATTTGGGTCTGGGTGAACCCTCGTCAGTTTAACAATAAATAACCATCAAAATCGATAAAAAAATGTTAAAACCACTAGAAAATAAACAAACAAAAAAGATTAAAAAAAAATTGGGCTTTCAAATGGACAAAAGGGAAACGAACTCAGATCATGAGATGGAAAAAAGATAATTTGCAAATATTTACTTTTTATAAAAACTTTTCAGACAAATTTTATTCATTGAGATTATTTCTGTCAGGAAGATTAAAAACTGGTTATATTTATGTGTATAAAGTCGTGGTCGATCTAATTAACGACGGGAGGGGGGCGGCGGCTAGTTAAAGAAGGGATATTTAAACCTTTTAAAGAATTGGACATAAAACAAAACCATTTAAAAAAATACTGAATTACAGTTTACAATTAAATAAAAAATATTTTTTTCCCTTCATTTTATCATTTTAAGAGTGAAGAAATGGCAATAAGTGGGTTTTATTGTTTTTTTTTTAGGCTGGTTTTTTGTGCCAACCCTGTTTACAACAAATTGAGGTTCAATCGGTTAAACTGCTGCAAGTGCAACGTTATTTGGATACAAACCATGACAGACAGACAAGGCAAATGTTCAAATAGAAATTTCAAATTTTCAATACTTATTTTTTAGTCAATAATCTTATATATTTTTAAAGGTCTTATATCTAAACTTAAAATGTCACATTTATGTCAAATTTCAATTTAGATCGTATAACAAAAAACATTTGATCAAATGCTAATTATGTTTAAGAACACGAAAATATTCTAACCTTCTGTTTGAACTCAGTCTGACACTGATCCTTCATCTTAAGCATAGCAGTAACAATCTTCTCAATATAATCATGCTCTACTCTCAAGGGAAACTCATCTGAAACCGTGGACAAGATATCCTCCCTGTAAGAATTGCAAACTTCAACTTCAACATCAATTTTGTGTGTTAGCATTTAGGGCGTCAGGTCATTTCATAGAAAGACATTTCATAGAAAGACATTTCATAAAAAAACTGTAAATTCTACTGTATAGGTTGAAGACGATTCGGTAAACCCTTCGGATGATCCTATAGATGATTCAAGACCTGAAGATTGAAGATATAGAAGCAAGATTCAATCTGATTATATTTGATCTTGTTTAATTGTCAAAGTAAATATTTACTCAAAAAATCTTCAAAACTATTTAAATGAAAATTCATTCTTAAAACTTAAATGTAAAACTTTTGAGTTTACTGTCTGAAATCATAAACATTTTATATTCAGAACCATGAATTTTATATGGATTTTATCTAAAAGATATTTAGCCAATATTT